AAGGGTAGCTCTGGTCCATAACCTCATACCTCCACTTGCATGGACATGAATGTATACCAATGCACCCCCACACACGCAAACCATGCATACACACATGTATACCACATACACATGAAAATAAAAAGTATACTGGTGGTGGCTAACTTAACTACACTGATATTTTCATATTGTACAACACAGTATAATAGACTTCCAGCAGCTGCTTTACTCGCTGAATCAGGTACTTCTCTGATGAAGGGTGGATGGTGTTACAAAGCCATCCCTGGATAGAAGTTTCATTCAATCTGCAGAAGGCTCGTTATTTAAATACAACATAATAAGTTCACCAAAATGGCTTCAGACTCCAGATTCTAACATTCAAGAAACTATCTCCTGCCACATTTTGGTTGTATTACTATTTGGTTATATAGTACTATTGCCACAGGCCAGGCATGGTGACTCATACCTGTAGTTCCGATGCTATGAAGGTTAAGGCAACAGGATCACCATGGACAAAAGTCCAGCCTGGGCTACAAAGTAAGTTCCAGTTTGGGCTACACAGTGAAACTCTGTCTCAAAAATGTTAAATAAACAATATCAGCACACACATACACAAAACAAGCTGTAGTCATGGTTTCTTTAAGGATACTTAATGTGCCCTCTTGAAAACCTACTATCATTTTGCTAACTAGACAGTATCTGGCTCCTTTTAAATACTTATCCTTAAACCCATAGTGTCAAAGTCCTTCAGGAACAAAGAAACCCCAGACCCTAATGGGATCATTTGTGCCAAAGAAAGAAGCCTAGGTGCCAGCCAGCTGTCCCTAGTACAGAAAGGGAAAGTTTTAGGGAGGCATTCTGGGAAACATAAAAGGCAGTGGTGGGTAGGTTGTAGGGATGGTATAATGAGAGAAGGGAAGAGTGTGAAGAGGCAGAGCAGGAAGAAGCCCTGATGATGTTTGATCAGGAGGGGACTCATCTGCTGAATCAGGATCCAGAAGAATTGGGTTTGGAAGCTGAAGCTAGTAAAACATGACATGCAGATTAGAGAAACAGGGGGGAGGACAGGAGTGGAGATTTTAGGAGGCATGAGGGCAGGGAACCTCTATCTCTTGATTCACTGGAGGAGTTTTGCTGAGGTCCTACAGATGAAGAGTGCAAACATGCCAAATTTAAACCAGAAGTTCCGGTTGTCAAAGGAATTATTGGGGCCAGCTCAAAATCTGACTTGAAGGCTATTTGAAACGTTTAGAGGACAAGCCAAAGGACTGTCTTTGAGAATAGAGGGACTACTGCCAGTGTTTATAGATGTAAAATGAGTCAGGGCTAGCTGGTACCCACCCCCAACCCCTGGAGATGGACATTTCACTAGAAGGGAGTTTCCAGAGAATCACAGAGAACAGACTCCAGGGGCCTGAGATAGAACTGACTGAGATAGAACATGACCTTACCCATGTGTGTACTGAACAGGGGAATGTCCTGTATTGCAGATAGTTCTGAGAGTGGTAAAGGTTTTGGAGACCCAGTTAGATAAGACAGTGAACTTACCACTATTGCCAATAAGAATTAAGACAAATCTCTTACTACACGTGCATGGCAGTGAGGGAGCTAGAAACCATGGCCCTCGATACGGTAGAGTCTTGGGGTGGCATACTGGCTGGCAGCCATTCAGCCTTACCTTTGAGAATGGAGTGACTCTCTGAAGGAAAGATGAGAAATGGGAGCTGGGATATAAGATTAAAGCCCTGTGAAAAGGGCGGCCTGGCGAGGCTGTTACCATCAGGGAAGCCCTTCTTGGGTTTTGATGTCAATGTGTAGCAGTTTATATGCAAGAATTAAATTTATAGGAAGAAATAGTGAACTTAGATGGCCCCAAACAGCTAGAGCAGCCTTAGCTAATGGCTGAGAGGCCACGATAATTAGGACACAAGACTAAAACACAATGACCAGAGTTCTAAAGAATGCAGATTCTGTGCTTGAAACTAGGGTGAGGTAGGGAAAGACAAGGAGGGTTTCCTTAGGGTCAGAGTGGAGAAGTTGGCTGATTTCTGAGATAAACTGTGTTTGAAACGGCAGTCTGTTTTCTCCTTTTGCTAAGCTAGTGTCTGAGGTCAGGGTCAGCTGCTTTTCTTCTGCAGCATCCAAATAGCTGGCTTCTTGGGATGTTGAGCTCAGTGTAGAGCCTTGGCTTGTGGGTAGAAGTCAGCTATTTCTGTTGCGACTATATTCTGTAACAAATAGCACTAAATTTTTAGTCTAAGGTCTTATTTTTGCAGCAGACCAGCTAGATTCGGTGTCAAGATGTGGATTATGTTCAAGACTATGCCACATGATCGAAAGGACCCAGGCAGAAACAGCAGTGACTTCCTAGGACATTCTTTGTATCACAGAAGGTTTGAGAACGCTGGTAGAAATTCAAGATGAGGAGCCCCTACTTGGAACTGAAACACTGTCATTTGCATCAAAAGTGAGTAGGGGTTCACCATTGCCTATTGTACATCGTGTGGTAGCAAATCTGTATCTACACTGCTGGGAATGGGGGAATGAAGAGCTGAGAGCTACAGTAGCCACAATCTCATTAGGAAACCCAGCTTTTCCTTTCCTGCAATAGTCTCTCTCAGAGCAGTTTCTCCTGACCACTTCTTGGGAAATCTTGCACACCAGTACTAGGGGAAGTCTGCACATGACATATGAGTTAACCAGGAGTTTGACTTTTTCTTCAGCACAGTGACCATTCATCCACCTCTGGACATCATCTCAAAGACTAAAGCCCAACAGGAGCATAGTCAAGGGTTGGAGTTACAATTCTTTATCCTCCTCTGGACTTCTCCATGTGGTCATTACATCTAGGTAGGAAGGAGCCAGCAGAAAGACCACAAGTGAAATAATAGCATCTGTGTTAAGCCATAGGCATCTCTTTTTTATTATTATTTATTTAATGTATATCTTCACACACACAGGAAGAGGGCATCAGATCCCATTACAAATGGTTGTGACCTACCATGTGGTTGCTGGGAATTGAACTCAGAACCTCTGGAAGAGCAGTCAGTGCTCTTAGCCACTGAGCCATCTCTCCAGCCCCCATAGGCATCTCTTGAGATCTCAAGAGTGAATTCGTTCAATCCTACTCCCTCCTGAGAAGTAAGAAGCATCAAACTCATACACTCCCATTAATATTCAACATTTAACAGGGTCACTTTAGATGAACCTATTGTGCTGCCGTGTTTTCAAAGTGATGCTCACGATGATCAAGAGCAAACAAGATTAGTATTTGAGAGCATGATTCAAGGGCACGACTCAGCCCCAAACCAGAAGTCAAATATTTACATAACTAAGATATATCTATTGCATTTAGACAGAGTTACTGTCTCTGCTTGATCTGGTCGTGCCTTGACCAAGGTCATTGGGCCAAAAGAAGTAGCTGGAGTGTGTGAGGCCCTAGTACAAGGCAGCATCAGCTGGAGACATGGATACCTTTTATAAAGCCTGCAAAAGAGAGTCTGTTTACCAAGTTGGAACCTATGCTGCTGCCTCTGCAAGCCCAGCAGGTCGTCATTTCTCTCACAAAACACCATATGGGCTACCAGCTCCAAATTAAGCAACTGAGAGGTCAATGGAGAGGATAAAATTTTATCTGAAAGCCTTTTACAGACCTTATAACACTATCCAAGGGGAAGCATGGCAGGCAGAGGAGGTTCTGAGGCTTGGTGGGAAAAAGTAAAAATTACATTAACCACAAACATTTTCTGCCTAACCCACAGCATGTAGCATACACATGAGACTTTCAGATAGTTAACACAGTCCCCAGTGGGAAACTATCTGAGAGAAGACTGGCCAAAAAGTATAGATTGATAGAGGTGGACATCATAACTTCTAAAAGTCCACTCTGACCCCAGAGCGAAGCCAGCCAGCAGGGCAGCAAGCGTCAAGCAGTAGTACCCAGGCAAGTCTGGCCTGAACTAACTGCCAAACCCTTTGATCTTCTGTGGCTTGACACACAGAAAACACCTGGCTGGGGGTTCTCAGAGACATGTGATACAAAGCCCAGGGAAGGTTTTTGTAAAGCTCTGCAACACCGTGATTGGTGGGATACGAGCACGGTGATTCAAACCCCATAGGGACCTGTACAAAAACTGCAGAGTGAAGAACCATCTCCCAGGGAAGTGTCCTGCCTGAGCCAGCCGCCACAGAGGATGAACACAGTAGGGCAGCCTGCCCTTGTATGGAAGCCTGGAAAGATGTCAGGAAGTTGACTGGATAAGAGATGACCCCACCTGCTGACCTCTGTCTCACATCTGTTTCCTGGATAAAACTGTTACTTTGTCATTTACTTCCATGACATATGAGGAATACAAAAGGCGTTTACTAAAAGGGTATCCTTGACATGCTCTCATGTTGGTTCTACAACACTTACTGAGCTAAATGAGACGTTCCATGTGGAATTTGTGAAGTCAGGTCCCTAGAGAAATTTGCCTGAGTTCTTTCCTTTTGCAGCTTGGAAGGTGGGCTTGACAGAAAGTTGGTTTGTTCATGGCCAATTCACTAGCCACACTTAGGAATTTTGAAGTTTTCTATCTGGAATTAATCAGCACTTCTGTGCACCTTCTCCCTCTCCCCGTTGTCCTATATATTCTCTGACCTTAAGGCCACATGACACATGTAACAGCCTTAAATGGAATAGTCATGAATCCAAGACCTGATAGTGCTATCTTTCCAAGACAAAGAGCTATGTGTGGATCTACATTTAAAACCACAGAAAGCTCTGCTAAGAGAATTTTATACGTGTACTGTGCAGGAAAGGTTTACCGTGGAACATGTTGCTCCTGCATGCTGCTCAAACATCAGCCTCCTGTAAGCTAACCCATCCTTATACATGTTGATAAGTCATGATGAGCCAGATGGATGAGTAACTCATGCCGGCTTTAAAGTACAGAAGCATGAAAACCCTCCAGCCATGACGTCAAAGCAAGAAGAAGATGGGAAACAGCTATCGAGGTTTTTGGAATGGCCTCAGTAGCTGTGCTACCGACAAACTCATCTTTGGTCAAGGAACTCAAGTGACTGTGGAACCAAGTAAGTCATTTATTTGTCTGGGTTGGGGGCTAAGGGATCTTCTACCTAAAGAGGTCGGAAGTATGAGGAGATGTGAAAGTAATAATATCCGCATCCCTGGTGATCCAGCCATATTGAGGAAGATGCCTGGGAAGAGGTGGACTCTAGTTAGCTCCTCCATAGGAGTAGGGGTTGTCTATTTAAAAAGTAGGATCTGGGAGGTTTGAAAAAAAATACATCTCAGAAGAACCTGAGAGAATTGTGCCTGCTCCAATCAAGTCAAACTGTAGAAATGACAGAGTGGGACAGCTCAGCAGAGTCAGGATAAATGTGTGCCCAGGTGATCAATCCTATAGCAGTGGCTCCAGATTTAATATAATGCTGACCTTCCATAGGCCAGACATCTGTTCCTGGGACAGCACAGAATGAAATCAGTGTCCTGGACATGGAGCATGAAGCCAGAATAAGTAGACATTCACTACAAGTGTGTCAGTCACCATAGTCCTCTGTGGAAGGAAGGTGACCAGACACCAGACACTCTATTTGGCCAAACTGCAGCTAGAAACAGTTACTAGAGAGAAATAAGGATGGAGAATGTGGTTCCCAGTGAGACCAGATCCAAGAATAAGAATTAAAGAGAATGTGGGATTTCCAACCAAGGGACACTTAAAAGTCTGCATGAGCTCTCTATGGGCTTTGTAAATCCATGTTCCTAGCTACTCTAAGGCAGTCACACTAAGGGTGTTGAAGAGTGTATTCTATACAAAATGTGTCAGTCACACTGAAGGGGTTGAGTGTACTCTACATAAAATGTGTCTTCTAATATCATTTAAGTTGCCATCTAAATTCAACAGTTTCTTGATATTAAAAAAAAAATGGTTTTTCCCACTTGGTAGAAGCTGTCAATTATTGTAGACAGGTAGTGGATATGGACCCTAAGCCAAGGGTCTACTAAACCAGCAAGGTAAACTTCACTGCAAAGGTCCTAAAAAAATTTAGTGATAAGCTCTGGTGCTCATAAATCACCAGACGGGCTTCTAGGAGAGCAACAAGGCTCTCTGCCCTGCCACTCTGACTTTCTGCTTCTTTTCCAAGCTTAAGAGAAGGCTCTGAACCTTGTTACCTTGTAACCTTAAATTGAGAGATCAGGAGAAGGCTCTGAACCTTGTTACCCTGTAACCTTAAGTTAAGAGGTCAGAAGGGTCCTGAGTGTGACACGTGAAGGAAGCAAAGGATCTGGATCCAGGAAGGGAAATCCAAGTCTGGGGACAGACATCTTCAGGTCCCCTACGAGCACCTACTGTAGAGACACAGAACAAGTGAGAGACGGACCTAAAGCTAAGTACCAGTGAAGTTGGGGAAACTCAAGTTTGCCATTTTTTGGAAGAGTTTGTAAAGTCAAGCAACTCAGACTTATGCCTTTAAATTTCTTTGACTTTAAAACATCTCACTAAAATAACAGCATGCCCCCACTCCCCATGAGGTAGTGGCCAATTTTCCTAATCTCCCTTTGTTCATGAAGCTCTTCCTAATGAGTTAACTTGCTCTGATCTACTGGGCCCATGTCCCCCAAAGTGTAGAATAGCAGAAATCACTTCTCAAATCCATATAACTTAAAGTTTCCTTTTAATTATATTTTAACTTCAAAAGTGAGTGAACTTAAGGAAAATGATTTGGCAAACTGCGGCAGGTAGATATGACCCTCTTCCCCCTCCAAAGAAAGAGATGTGATTAATTGAAGTTTGCCAGACGCCCAGCTGGGGCATTACATTATTCTTTGAGCTAGAAAAGCTAAGGAGCATCTAGGGGGTAGGACCCAGAATAGTTTTAAATAGCACCTTCCTTTTTAACCAACCAGTGCTGAACTAATGAGCTACAGCTGCAAACAGGGCCTTTGTCTTATCTAAAGCCAACTTTCTTTTGATTCTTTCTTCAGGAGTTTCTTTCAAGCTCTTACTTGCAAGGTTCCCAGGATGCCCCACAGTAACCAATCAGATCTACACACAGCAGCAGATCCCACTGGGTAGTCTAGCATACCATGGAGAGTAAACCTGGGGATAGCACACAATAAGGCACCACCATGTAAATGTATGCGCAACAGTGTTCAGGGCAGAAGTTCACAGAAGGGTCATGGTCCTCAGAAATATCCTCCTAAATGAAGGTGCCTGTAAGATGTCTCACAGTGTTCTCCGTTACTGTATACCAGCCTTACATCACAATATTGCTTTGGGGGCGCTTACCTTGCATCAGTTCTTTTCTTCAATCTCACAATGATCTTGTGAAATTAGTTATCACTTTGTGTTTTTGCAAACCAGGAAAATGAATCCAGGAGGGGGGTTGCCCAAGATCACACAGCTTATCCAAACTCTAATTTGAATCACCTGTGTGGTTCCAGCCTCTGTGCTTAGACGATCCCTGCTGCTCTACCAAGCTGTATCTGCACATATGCAAGGTTCATCCCACTGGTAACAGCCACTCCTTGAGGACTCTGTGCTGTTTCCTTTCCAGCCACCATTTCCAACACCTCCCTCAACAGGAAAGGGCTCCTTCCCTCATATCACACCATCCCTCTCATGGAAGCAAACAAGCTTCTCACTCATGCTACAGCTTTAGAGCCTCAGAGTTCCTAACACAGAAAGGCTCAGACAATTAGTCAGAATATCTGCCTGCCCCCCAAGAGGTCTGGCTAACTCTCTTATTCCTCCTGGTCACTGGCTCTTCAACAGCTCCCCTTCCCCATTCCTTTCTCATAAGCATCTCCCAGAACAGAGTCTTTGTGCATTCAGTTCTCTACTTAGAGCCATTTTGCCACCAGGGACTAGTATAGCTTTCTCCCAACCCCTGCTTAGAATGTGAGGCCTTCCCAACCCACCCACAAACCCCTTCTTCCACTCTATTATTTATAGTCCTTTTGTCCATCTAAAACTGTCTGTGGATTTATTACCTATCTCTCTTGGTCCATGGAGATAAACATGTTAAGATTTACTTTCCACAAAGACATTTAAGACACTGACTGTATTTTGTTACATAAATGATTCAGTCCATCAGAGGACACCTCTGTTGTGGTATACCAAAATGGAAGTACGCTAGCAAACTGCAGCACCAAAGCAGAGCCCTGATGCACAGCCTGGGGCATGGCACTGTCACCTGTGCCAAGCACTATTTTAGGTACAAGGTGTCAGCACAAATAGAGCAGATCAAAATTCTTACTCCATAAAGGCAAATGACACAAGATAAAAGTACTTAGGTTGCAACAAGCCAAGATCCAAGAAGTGGGATAAAAGGCATGTGCAGAAAGGACCAGGGAGTAATTTCAAACAGAGTTGTTTCATTGGAAAGGTGGCATTTGACATGGCCGAGTAAACTCTTCAGCTTCCCAGAGGAATGGGACTTCCAGGCACAGGGGACATAGTACTCTTTGGAGTGTGTGAAGAGTGGTCAGGAGGCTCTATGTTGGAATGAAAAAGAGTGCCAGGGAACAAACTTGGAAGGGAGACTGAAGAGATGGTTCAGTTGGCAAAGGGTTTACCATGCAAGTATGAGGACTTGAGTGAAGATCCCAGAACCCATATAAAAAGCCTGGCATGGTGGCTCTTGTCTACAATCCTAGCACTGGGGAGGCAGAGACAGGAGGATCCCTGGATCTCACTGGCCAGACAGTCTTGCCTAATCAATGAACTTCAGGTTCCATCAAAGATTCTGGCTCAAAAAAAGTAGAGAATAATAGAAGAAGATACCCAACATCTCTCTCTTGCTTACACATGAGTGCATGTGCGTGTGGGGGGAGGGGGACTTAACAAAGAGGGCCAGCCACACTTGCTGTCTTTACCTCCAGTGACAACACCTGTAGAATGGACCTAATAATACCAGTTCTTGAAGTTGTTTATAATGTCTACTAAAATAATATGCAAACCAGTGTTAAGTAGTATAAGGCTTTGTTATGAATGGTAATTTTACATAGTTATTTTGTACTCTGGGACAGACTCATCTTTCTTGTCATGAATTCTTGGACAGACCCGGCTCTCCTGTGTTAGTGGCCCTTGCACAAGAGCACTTTGCCCTTCCTTGTCCAGATGATGCATGATCTGGTGGTCCTTATCTCACTTGAGTCTTCCTATAGCTATTTCTGCTCACGATGGCCATTTAGCACTGCAGCAAAACCAACACTATTTGTTTCTCTTAGGGAAAATGAGACCGTTAGCAAAATCTAGGGATAAGAAATGGCAGATTGAGGAGCTAGTAGCCAAAAGCCTAGGGGGTTCCCTAAATGTCAATATTCAGAAAATAAAAGAAGTTAAACTGGCTGCAAAATACAACACTTAACTCTGAGAAGCCTTCACAAGATTCTGCTCCTCCAGCCACCCTCATGCTGATCCACCAACTCTATCCAAACAGGCGAGGCAGACTGAAAGGGATAAAGACCGAAGAATTCAACTGATGCCTAAGCTAGTGCTATGACAGTGTAGCTTAGCTATGGAAGTGGGGATCCGCTCATCACAGAGCCTTAGAGCAGTGACTCTCAACTTATGGGTCATTACCCCTTTGGAGGTGGAGTGACCCTTTTACAGGAGGTGCATATCAGATATCCTGCATATCAGATATTTACATTATAATTCATAACCATAGAATAATTACAGTTATGAAATAGCAATGAAATAATTTTATGGTTGGAGGAATCCCACAAAATGAAGAACTGTATGAACGGGTCACAGCATTAGGAAGGTTGCGAGCTACTGCCTTAGAGTCAGTAACACAGTGGAGATAAATGAAGCTTCTCAGGAAATTGGGGTTGGTCTAAATTTGAAACTCATTATTTGTTGCAATGGATAAGAATAACATTTAGGGCAAATGTGTTAGGTTTTCCCTAATAAAATACTCTATGAATAATTAAAAACTCTATCCTGAAGTTTAATAAGAATAAATTTTCTACAACTACCTTGAAAAGCCATAGGTTAGGTTTCTGGTTCTGGCCCTCTGGTCAGGAACTAGGACCACAGAAGCTCCAGATGAGAAGAGTCTCT